CCCTTCATCAGAAATGTCCTTCACTCGGCAATCAGAAAGGTATTCTTCTTCTCCACGACAATGTATGTCTACATATGGCACGTTTGATGCAACACAAGGTTGTCAAATTGGGTTGGGAAGTTCTTCCCCACCCACCATATTCTCCAGATATGGCACCATCAGATTACCATCTTTTTCGTTCGCTGCAACACAATCTTAATGGGAAAACGTATGCAAATGTGAAAAATGTTAAGAGGACATCGACATGTTTTTTGCTTCAAAGCCAAGTGATTTCTTTAATCAAAGCATTAACAACCTGATTATAAGATGGAAAAGTATCATCGATAACAATGGAGATTATTTCATTTAATAAATGTTTTGTTTTGATATATAAGTTGTCCGGATTTTTCATCTAAAAAAAAAGCGACATTAATTTCTTGACGACCTAATATATACATAACTTAAAATAACAGTCATAATAATAGAAGACTTACAGCTGAATACAAAACATTAGATACAGCGCATACGAGAAGTACCATATTAAAAATATAACAGCAAATTTTCAAACTAACTCCACAGTTGTTTTATAAGGTGTATAAAACAAATATAAATTATAACTTTGCTAATAAATTTCAGTTTAATTTGGGATTGATTTCATGAATCACTAACGAGTATTTTATTTTCCAAAGGTCGAAATTGTGAAAAAGTAGAGAAAAGCATGATGTACGATATAGTGTGCAATTAAAGTTATTTTTATTCTCTGGTTTGGTTTATTTTGAATTTCGCGCATAGCTACACGAGAGCTATCTGCGCTAACCTTCCCTAATTTAGCAGCGAAAGACTAGAGGAAAGACAGCTAGTCATCACCACCCACCGCCAACTCTTGGGTTATTCTTTTACTAACGAATAGTGGGATTGACCGTCGCATATAATGCCCTCACGGCTGAAAGGGCGAGTATGTTTGATGGGACGGGGATTCAAACGTTCTAACCACCTGGCCATGTCGGGCCATTTTTATTCTCTGTGTAGCTATTAACACTTTTCATTTACTTATGTTTCAGATTTACCTGATAACCATTTCCTCCACAGCTGTGTGAACATAGTGACCATTCGGTTACATCCCAGTCAAATTTCAAGTTTTCTGGATTTCCATTTCCAAGAAAAATACTGTTAGCTAAAGGACCGACTGGACTGTCCTTTTCTTGTGTTGACGACTCCTCCCTAGAGTCATCAATGGATTCTAATATCGAACTGCCTCCCAAGGTCTCTCTTAGGTTAATTAATAACTGTCTGAGATGTGGCAAAGAGTAAGTGCTGGCTGCTCCTGAGTGAAGCTGGTCTTCGTTCTCATCTTGAGGGACATCGAGAATCCCGTAGCCACCGGGAGGGGAACCAGGATTGATTCCATCACTTTCCTGGTCGGAAAAAAGAGCACCCCCGTTCTGATATTCCCAAGTATCGAATATTTTGGGATAGTGTTTATCCTCTGTGGACGACGAATAGGAGGGATATTTTTGTGACTTTGTTCGAAATTTTCCCTGCTGCCGGTTTTTAGATCTCTCCTGACTATCTTGTCCAAAGAATGATTTCATTCCAGGTTTTTGTACATTTGGACGGTTAGCAAAATTGGCGTGATTGGGATGAGCTTTGCCAGCTGAAGCATGATCGCTGTTTTCATGACTGTAGCTGTCTTCTTTCATCTTCGAAATGTATCTATCTTCTAGAAAAGAAAAGTAGTTAAAATTATTTATTTATAAGTATGTGCTTTAAAAATTAAATTAATAACCTATACTATAAAAATGTCTTAGTTTGTTCCTAAGTCCAGTTTAGTTTTTATAAAATATATTGTTAATACAAATCGCTGGTGAAGTCATGGCTTGAAATTTTTAAAGTTCGTTTGTTTGCTTTTCGAGTTACTATACTATCTAAACTCGAATGGCTTACGGTCACTCAAATTTGTTTTCAGATTTACCTTGGATAGACACTCACGCTCACCAGTGGCACAGCGGTTTGCCTGCGGAGTTACAACGCTAGGAACCGGGTTTCGATACCCGTGGTGGTCAGAGCACAGATAGCCCATTGTGTAGCTTTGTGCTTAACTTCAAACAAGCAAACTGGATAGACACGTTCTTAGATTTCATTGACGGTTTTGATTAAAATTAATTAACGCAACATTTGAAATGTATAAATTTTCGTTTATTGACATGAAAATTAATTCTATATTAAACAGCATATTGGCAGTTTCCTAGAAGAAGGAATCTTATATGAGTTTTGGTTGTTTTAGAAGTTTCGTGCAAAGTTGCACAAGGGCTACCTGCGCAAAACCGTCCCTAATTTTCGGTTAACTATAGTCAACATCACCTATCGCCCTGTATTGGGATACTGTCTGACCAACTTGTGGGAGTTGACCATCACTCTTGTATCGCATCCACAGCTCTAAAGTGTCGATCGCGTCTAAGCGACAGCGGGACGAGAATAGTCAAATTCACAGTCGGGCACATTAACTACTAGTCCACGCCCAGCTCATTTTATAAGAACCAAAAGATTTGTATAATAAAGAATATTTTTCATGAAAGTCCTAATTATTCTAGTATGATACTCCCACGCATATATTTATATATATATATATGTGTAAGGAATGTCATTAAATTATTGAACTTAATCTGGTGAGTTGAAAAGTGTGAAATCACAACTTGAGATGGAGCTCATTCAGATGAAGATGGTTTGTTTTTCTATAGTTTAAGCTCAAAGCTACACAATGGACTATCTGTGCTCTGCCCACCACGAGTATCGAAACCAGGATTCTACCGTTATAAGTCCGCAGACATACCGCTGTGCCACTGGTGGGCATTTTATCTACTCTCTTTCCACTCTGGACAGTAATACACACTATAACAATGATGACTATTTTTTAATGGTAAAAGGTATCAGTGAAGCTTGAAATCATTGATATTTGTCTAAAATTCGCATAGCTCAAGCGTCTACAAAATCCATTGCGATATGGGTCGATAAGCTTCTAAAAACCTACAACTGTTGATATGAACGACTTTCATACTTACACACTGTTCTCACACAACAAAAATAACTACAAAATGAGTTACTTTTAAATAGTTTTACTTATAACATTTACACTGAAACCGTTTACTTGCCTGCTTCACGCGATAATCCGTATTTTGGAGAAGAATGTTTGACGGAAATAAAGATGTCACTTTTGATGGGTCCAACTATACAGGTGTATCTACCACTATCTTCTTTCACTAAGTGCCTTACTTTTAGTTTACCACTTGAAGTGATGCTGTACTTATGACTTAACTGGATTTTATTTTTGTCCTTGTACCATTCTACAGGAAAACTATTTTTAGAAGGATATGCACATCGGAGTTTCAACTTTGTACCGTGAAAAAGTGAAGCATATCCTCCTGTTTTCAAATACACTTTTTGTTTCGGAAACTGCTGAATAAATTTGTTTGATTCTATGGAAGATATTTGAGTGTTTTCAACTGAACACGCAGCATTACTACAATGACTCTTGTTATTCAGTTTTTCAACCATTTTCTCTTCGTCATATCCGGGTGGAAGTGGCTTCACAACAAGCATAATGTTAGCTTTGGCTGGAGCAGCGACACACGAATATTTCCCATTGTCTTCGGGAGTAAGATGGCGAATTCTAAGGGCACCTCTTCGAGAGATTTTAAATTTCTTACTTTCTTCAATCTTATGTTTGTCTTTATACCAGATAATTAGCGACTTATTGAAGTTTCGTGCTGGACAACGAATCTTAATGATGGTATTTTCAAACAGAACTGCATGGCCGCCGACCTTTAGTTTAAGTTTCTTTATTGGATTTTTCTGAACATAGTTCTGGTCAGAAGTTTTGATATATGGAACTTTCCCAGTGTCAATATTACATTTCCTTATATTACAATATTTTTCAGTTCTCGGGCGCTTTTTAGGACACATGGATGGGGGTTGGCTAACGATACGACCGAATGCTAATTCTTTTTCACATTTGATTTTTCTGGTCTTGAGCCCTCCGCCACATCGCTTAGAACACTAAGGAAATAAAATTTATTTGAATGGGCTCGAAGCAACCAAGCTCATAACCTCTAGAAAAGAGTCACAAATATTTCAATAAAAATTACAAAATTCAAAACATATAATAGAACTGCTACTAATATAATGCACCTTCGATCAGTGAAGGAGTTTTCAAATGTTAAATAGATTGTGAATACACTAACGTAAATTAGTGCAAAATATACTTGTAAAAATGTAATGATTTTACATACAGTTCTTGTTACTTTACTAATCAATTATAAATTAATGAGACCGAAAAACCTCAAAAGATTACATTTAATTACATAGATAAATGCACATCTTCAAGTATTTATATATTTTCATTCTTAGAAAATAACTTTCAGTGTTTAGAAGCTAAATAATCACAATTAGAGCTTGGATATCATCATCAAAATGTGCTCCAAAAGTCACTTAGTGGATGAAACTAAAGAAAGGATTTTGTTTGGTGCAAGGTTCTTACTTTATTATACGGTTCTGCACGCCATCTGCTGGGACAATCGTTAACGTTACATATTTGTTGTACACGTGGTGGAGGCTGAGGACATAAGCTGCTGGCAACCACCAGGGTATTCGCTGCCCCTCGAGTCACTTCGTGGATACACTGAACTCCCCTATTTTGTAATCCACCCCCACAGGGCTTAGAACAAGCTGAGAAATCGGACACGTTCCATCTAATAAAGCATAAAGAAATTTCTTGACAACCAGAAAAACCATGTCGCAAAATGTGAGGTGAAAATAAAATGATCAATGTCATTAGTACGTGTAAGTTTTTAACACTAAGCATTGTCCTACTTGAGGTTTTTTATTAGTTAAGTTTAAAAAAGGCTCTAATACAATTCTGTAATGTGTAGAATAAGATAATGACTTGTACATCATTGAACAAACAAAAAATAAGAAAATAAAAAAGCATTAGCATTTCCAAAAAAAACTAAAGTAAAGGCTCATTTTGCGACCTGGACTACCAACTTGAATTTTCGTGTATTGTATGTTGCACCCAATTGAAAAAAAAAAATATTTTTGCATTATGAAACAAAAATATTTCAAAGCAGTATAGGGTGACCTAAAAGTTACTCACCTCAGAGCAGTGTGCTAGTTCTTTCTAATTCTGATATGTTTTACATTTATGTACGAACATGTGTGAACAATACGAAAGCATGTAACACAGACTAACAAGTGTCCAACGAGCTTTGGTGCTGTAAATCCAAGGTTATCCATACAAAAGAGATTTCAGGGTGAAAAAACTAGCTTTTTGTCAACTCTGTTTTCGCTTACAATGTTCAAACTAAATTCATGGGTTCATCCATAAACTGTCAGGTCATTATCACCAAAACTTTTTCATCTTGTGGTTGGACTAAGTAGGAGTTATCTTAGAACAGGCTTAGGATATTAAACTGAATACGTACAAAATTCAAAACCTTGGACACGATAATTAGATCCAACTGAACTGGAACCCAAGATCCTATTTAAGTATTATGTGAAGGTTTGTACCTAGAAAGAGACAATACGTGTATAATTACCTAGGAGGACAAGCGTGATCGTTACAAGTTTGGGTGATGGCTCTGGGTTTCTTATTGATATCACACAGCAAAGAACTCACTGTGGCTTGGTCGTGATCTCGTATACATTGAATTATAGATTCCTGGATACCTAAATCATAAGGACAGACAACACAGTTATGATAAAGAAATGGAACTGAAACGCACTGATCTATTTTATAAAAGAACCATCAGCAAGCTTATACATTTGAATATGTTAGATTCATACTGCAAAGTACTGGAACGTTTCTATGTAAAATTACAGAAATCTGTTGTGAGAATATTTTCCTTTTTGCTACAAAAACTTAATTCTAGTATTCATATCTAACAATTATTAATTAAAGCTTTGATACATAGAATAAATGTGAAATAAAAGAATATCTCAATTAAGTTACCAATCTTATTGACTTAACGTATCACTCTCCAAGTCTCTGTGCAATATCTATATATCATTTGAGGCAAAATATATTATTCTACACTTTTTCTAATTAAAAAATAAAACAAAGAAAGTTAATCTGTAAATAGAGACACGTATGAAACCAAATGTTTTACTCAATGAGCTTAAAATGCATATGATTAGTTTATGAGTAAATAAAGTTAGTACCTCCTAGACACGAAGCACTGCAGGGCGTGAAACCAGCCTTACGCCACGAATATGTAACTTCAATCCCAACCTTTCCTCCTAGCCTCGATTGGACAGTTGCATCAAGAGGGATGCCATGTTTTCCGTCAAAGAAGCGATCTGCTTTGTTTTTTTCTTCGTCGATACTGTTGTCTGCCTCGTCTTTATTCTGATCTAAGGCGCAAGGCCGTGAAAAACACTTCTCTACATCAGAAGGCCGACGGCCTAATGGAATATTCAGAAACAGAAGTCTTAGGTTATTCATAATCAGAAACTTTATATAATAATATTTCTGCCAAATAAAAAACAAGAAGGGAATCTTCAATAGCCGCGGCATTTGAAATTCGTTTAGGTAGGATTAGAGTAAATTAATCTATGATACCTTTTTTTTTCCCCCTATTTATTAAATATATTTTTGTGCGGCAGCAATACCAAACGCGGAGCGCGCGTATACTCGATTCGATTTTATTACTCTGAGTTAAAATTTTGTACTTGAAAAAATCAGAACCATTCTATGAGCCGCTATGTAGCGACTTAAAAATCTGACTGATTTTTCTTTCAACTGCAATTTTGAAAAAACCGGCTAAACATAAGAGAACAACACTTGGTGATTACTGGGATAATAATATAACATTTATTGAGCATATAAAATACCCCCTTTTGTGTAAATATGAAACAAAAAGACAAGCTATTTAGATAGTGATTGTGCGAAGATAAAATGTGCTACTTTGAAACTTAGAGAACGCGAAACCATTTAGATCAGTGCTTCTCAACCGGGGTTCCACGACAGACATCCAGGGATTCCGCGAGATATTGGAGTACCACAAGGTTCCGTGAAATGCAAGAATTCCACATATTTTAATACATGAATACAGGCTAGTCACATAATTATAATAATATTTCTGTATTAATATAGCGGGTTTCATGATGACACAACATAACAAGTCACTGTATTGTTTTAAATTGGTGAACGAGACTAAATACAAACAGCTAGTATTGCAGTAATGTTCTTTTGTAATGAACGCTGTAAAGGGTTCCGTGACACAAATTTGACGCCAGAAAAATTTCTTGGATTCAAAATGGTTGAGAACCACTGACTTAGATCATATAGAATAAAACATTACCTGGGCATTCTCGATCCGGTAAATTTGCCACTGAGCGTGAGAACTCCAGAAAGATCTTACACTCCACGAACCGACGTCTGATGCCTTCACCACAGGTGACGCTACAGGACTGCCAATCACTTACTACAAACCTGCGGACAACAAAAGTTTTTTAATTGATGTATTTAAAACTTTTATTCATAATTTGGTAGTTATGTTTTTTACTCAAATGATCTATATATAAAACTGGATTGATTCATACATACCATGGATCTTTGGAAACTTCTGATGGATCAAAACTCTGTTGAGTCCAAGGAAGTGCGCCAAAGTGTTCGGGTGGAGCATCTTCTTGAGGATTGATATTTGGAACTAGAATCAAACAAAAAACACACTGATATAAACATGCTGTTCGTGATAACATTTTGCTCATTTGACTTTGCATTCTAAAGGTATTATGTTTGTTTGTTTGTAGTTAAGCACAAAGCTACACAAAGGACTATCTGTGCTCTGCCCATCACGTGTATCGAAACCCGGTTTCTAGCGTTGTAATTCCGCGGACATACCGCTGTGCCACTGAGGGGCCTAAAGGTCTTATACAGGTGATAAAAACTGATTACACATTTTTATTCTACACTGAAATAAAATTCAATCATAAGGAAAAGAAAATGAACTTAATAGTCATAGTTTTGAATTGACTAAAACCGTCCTTTCAGTAAAAGCTAGGCTGCTGATTTTCTTTTCCATATCTCAAGATATATATATCTTTAAGTCAGGCGCTCAATATTCATACTGACATATATAACTCCTCTTCTGTTAAAATTTACACTGGCAATATGTTGATGAGCTTATTTCTAATCAATAATTTTTTTAGTTTAACGATTTTGTGCTTAATTCTCATTACTAATGCTATTTGTGCTTGTAGTCACTTTCTTAAAGAAACGAATATGTTTCATTTCGTCTACAAAAAAAAACAACAAAATACGAAAGTTGCATCTTTGAACGAACGTAAGGTATCCATAGTGTTTTCCAATTTTGCCACAACTAGCTGCGTCTTTTATAGCTAATGTTAATACCAGGCATATCATTCTACCTACTAATGTTTTTCGTAAGATAAAAGACGAAACTGTGCCCTTAAGGTTCTCACTATTGACTAGATCCTTAAACTAATTATTTTCTATATTGATAAGAAACTGACTGGCCTGAAGGGAACTCTTAGTATGCTAGTATGGTGATAGTGAAAAAAAGAATATATTTGACGAAACATTATCTTGGTCACTCACCAGACTTTTCGTTCAATGGGCAGGTAATCTCGCTCGTGCATGTCCTTTTCGTCTCGGGCCTAGTCCTGTAATCACACTCTCCGCTGATACTACCTTTGTGATCGTAGCAGATGACATTTCTCGTTTGCATACCTTGACCGCACGTCACCGAGCACTAAAAAAACATTAGTCATATGTGAGCAGAGAATAACAGTGAGAGGAATATAGAAATGACTATACAGGGAGGCTACTAAATAGGTGATTGTAAAAACCGATCTACGCGAAGGTCTTCTAGCTGACGGAAGAAATTTAGATAATTTCTAATCGTTAATATTTAAGATTCAGGCTTGAAATAATTTTTTTTTGCGAAATTCGACAGGTGAAATAATACCTTATACCTGGAGATAAAATTTTACAGCAGACAAGGATTAAACGCTAGGAATGTAAACAAGTAAACCTAAAAAAGCAAATATGAAAGCCCTGACTCATTTGGGCCATATAGTCCACCAAACAGGACAAAATTAAAATATAAAACAAAATATAATTATCTAAAAATGTTATTTTAAACATAAAATTATCATATAATCTTTCTTGCAATTGGGGATATACATAAGATTTATAATAAATATTCGGTAGATGGCGTTTGAATTATTGAAGAATGAGTTTTGTTTAATATTTTTTGTTTTTTACCGCAAAGCTACACAATAGGCAAGTTGCACTCTGTCCATTGCGGGGAATCGAACCTCAGATTTTAGCGTTGTAAGTCCGTGAACTTACCGCTGACCCACCGGCGGAATGAATAAAAAAATAAATCATTCCTAAAAATTTAAATGACAATGTTGATAAACTAGCACATTGTCTTACACTCATAAAAGTGCTTTCATAAACATTGAAAACCAACATCCACATATTATATTAGGCCCGCATGGCCAGGTGGTTAAGGCACTCGACTCGCAATCTGAGGCTGAGGGTCGCGGGTTCAAATCCCTGTCACAGTGAGGGTGTTATAATGTGACGGTCAATCCCACTATTCGTTGGTAAAAGAGTAGCCCAAGAGTTGGCGGTGGGTGGTGATGACTAGCTGCCTTCCCTCTAGTCTTACACTGCTAAATTAGGGACGGCTAGCGCAGATAGCCCTAGTGTAGCTTTGCGCTAAATTAAAAAAAACAAACAAACAAATATTATATTACGGCAGCTTTAATTGATTTTAATTAAAAATCTCAGTAAATGCAATCTCGGGTCTGAAAGGGTTAAGATGCAAAAGTTAGAATGTGTGAAGAGAAATAACATACAATAAAGACGTATACGAATGAGTTACCTATGTAGTTTTCAAGACTTATAACGTAAAGATTGCATGGACTCAACTACAAAATGGCAAAAAATAAAAATATTAAAACAAAAAACAGGCACATTTTTGCGATAAAGCGGGTGTTATTTTTCGGGGAATGTTGTATTAAAATCATAGCATTAAAGTGTGTTTGATATTCAGGAATATCGGCCACAATTAACTAGTTCATTAGCATAACCAGTTATGAGTTATATTTATATGTTAATTAAGCTATTTACACTATAATTGAAACGTTGTGGACATGTGAATGCGGCAGAAGATTCATAAGACAATAATCCAGGTGTAGATGTCGTAAGGGCAGGGGTAAAATCCTATCGGTATTCACTGGAGCTCAGTACCTCTCTTTCTTCTTTTTTATTTAATTTCAAGATTTGATAGTGAGTTCCATTATTATACATATATAATTTTTTTGGCAGTACATTAGAATAGTTCATAAAAATATACCGTTAACTTTCAGAAACTCAATACTTAATAGACTGTGAGGACAGATCTCGATGAAGGGGAGTATTTGGACTTTAAAGAATTTCATGACTTTATAACTCATCAACATTCTCATGCTTTGTCAGAAATGATTTAACTTTCTTCCTAGAACAAAGACAGAGTCTATATTATGTAAATACAAAAACAAAACTGTTTTTTTTATGACTTTTGTTCTTGTAATGAATATAATAACCGAAACGTATGTGCTGTGAAAGCGTTTTTAAACTGTGAACTTTTGATGACCTTAAATAACAGTCGATAAACGTAATAAATAACAAAATTTCTGTTACTTGTACTATAGAGATTGACTTATTATTATCCTCACCCCTGACCATGGTTTTACGGTCCAACGTGTACAGCTTTGGGTGTTACAACTTCGTTGATTAATTGGTTTCTTTTGTGAACACGAGGTGTCACTGATGCGCATACTGGTACCGTTAGATCCACCCTGAGCGCAGAAGACCGATCGGGTTTGAATCCCGCCACCACAAGACGTACTACAAGATTCCCAGCTTTCTGCTATCCATCTAAAGAATTTAATTAAAAGTCATTAATAGAAAAATCACTAAAATTGGATGCTTCAAATATTTTGTTTTAGTAATCTGAAATAATAGATAACACAGGCCTGCGATGGTTTTAGTGTCTTGAAATTTTTACATGTTCTACAGTAATTCCTGTACGCTGATTTCGAAAATGACATCCCTTTTTTTCCATCACGTACAGATGTTTCCCAAAATGTCATAACGCAATACGTAAAAGAAAGACCACAACATGTAGTTTTGAGACTAAAAGACGTAGATGTCACAAAAAATCAGAATGAATGAGGATGGATATTCGTTTGAAATCAATGTTCTTCCCTTTTCTTCAGTTTGTTTGTATTTTTGTTAACAAATATTATAATAAAAAATGCTCATTGTGGTAAACGAAATAATAATTTAATCTAAGTAAGAGTTTTCTTCCCGACTTGTAAGAAATTCTTACATGATAGAAAAAAAAAGAATATTATTTTCGAAATCTTCGTAGTTGAATAATGGAAAATCTATTATTAAAACCAAAACAGCTTTTATAAAGTTTAGATTCGTAGGCCTGTGTTATCATTAATTCATTCACTCTAGAGCAGTTACAAATGTAAAATAATAAAAAAGTTCCTACAACTGAAAGTCTTTTCAGAAATACGCTCATAGCTACATGAGGGTGCTAGTCGCTCTCATTTTGCGTTGATAGAGTACAGAAATGGCAGCTACTCAATATTACTGACCGCCAACGCTTAGGTTACTGTAATCGGATTGTAGGATTTTAATCGTTTCTGCTTCAACCTCAAACGATACATTTTCGATATTTTGGTAAGCTTTTTTGTCTGGCTATGGATAATTAAATTAGGTAAATAAATTTAGGACTTATGACAATATACTTTAAATAGACGAACATTTGTCGATGTAGTGAAGAAACATAAAAACGTATACTTGTTCACATTAGGTAACAAAAACAGTACCAAAAACTTTGAAGAGTACCTAAGATCTGAAGATCGGAACAATGATCAGCTAGGTTGATGATAGAGAATGAAGCTTTATATGACTTTAGGAGTAGATAATGGATTAATGTTTGTTTTTGATAAACATAAAACTTCGTGTATTTATATTTCGAAAGAAACTTTCAAGTTTTTCAGGGAATCCCAGTTAAATGCACCTAAGAATGGAGTTTTAAACTAATATTAGCATATATTTTTGCTTTTTACAATTCACCCAACCGAACTGTAAAGAATAGTTGAGTATATTAAACTTAACTGGAAACTGAATAGCTCCAAACTCTCTTTCGAAATAAGAGAGTATAAACGTGCGTATCTAAAAACTACACCACGAGTTTTCATGAATATAAAGTAAGCCTAATATGTGTTAGGCTTACTTTATGTTTGTTGGTGCAATCATAGATATAAATAACACTAGATTGGCCAATCACTACTCTCTATCATTGAGGGGCATGTGGGCATGCTGCTGCCATTACTATGTGTTGAAGTTCGAACTGGCAGACAATGTAAAATGGCTGAGAGTGACAGTCGTCTGTTTAAGTCACAATCCGAAAGAACGAAGGGAACACAGTTCTAAGTCATTAATTGTTACACATACCGTAACCAAGAGACGAAGGCGGAGGGTGTAACATTCCACAACTAAGTAAACTATATTTTCTCTATAACATATTAAGTTACAGTGGGCGACATCGCCGTGAACATGGTGGCGACATCAAACTGGCGTGGATCATGCTTACATCTAGTTTCAAAATATATATGCGAGCCCTTTTTGGAAGGCATTTTACTTACACAAGTCGCCACGACAGTTTGACAGCTTTTGATTTGAAATGCTGACAATATTAAGTACTCATTACGACATTCTAATGTCGCCTGCTGGCCAGTCAGGCTATACAGAAACGCCGCCAAAACATGCATTGTCTACAGAAACAAGTTTTGTGTACATTCAATTTTGATGCTATCACTGAGTGTCAAGATAGTAGCTTATTAAATATATCATTTCGCTTAATGAATGAGAGAGGAAATATGGGTTAATTTATATAGTTTAAGACAAGTCTAGTCTGATTAATGACATTATGGCTGATTCTGGAAACAATTCAAACACAGAACTAATACTGTCAATAGACTCATTCTCAGAATTACAAGGGAGATTAAATTTTTGCAGGTGGATCCATCCAGTCCAAAATCTTTGTGTTGTCAGTGTCGTTATGATAAATAATCAGTATACAGTATAAGTGGTTTAAAATATGTTGTATTGCTTGAACAAAAAAAAACAACAGCAACAAAACATTAATGTAGCTGTGATATATATATAAAAGAGTGCTTATAATAGAGTGAGCCTAATTTCATTACAGTATATTTCTGATTTAAGTTATTTCATATTACAGATTTCCAGGCAAAACTAAGAACAAGGAATTTTATGTGCTTTGGATGAAAAATTGCAGAAGAGAGCGCGAGCCCACAACTGGTTCTAGAATATGTAGTAAACACTTTGACCCATCAATGATTAATGTGACATTACAACGAACACACCTGCAAGAAAATGCAGTTCCATAATATTCAAGTTACTTGAACACCCTCAGGTTAGACTCTTGTTAAAGCTATAGTTAAAGCTTATTTTGGTATAAATGCTCAAGATAAGATTTATTCAAAGTCATAATTTATACAAACATAATTTAATAGCCTCGGAAATCAGTGAAACGAAAGTCAAATACAAGTACAGAATCCCTGCTACCTGCTAGTCTGCCAAATGAAGAAGAAACTGGTGTGTTAAATATCAGTTAAGTGTATTAGATGTACACATGTTTTGCACATTGCCGATTGTGTATTTGCATGTTCACACGAAAATAAAGTATTGCAGAAATCATTCTCACATGAAACATCAAAACCTGGCTAGTATATAATTATGAATTGTACATTTAATGGTGAAAATTGTTGATTATGCTATAGATCAATATATTCCTATAATGTTCTTGAAACTAATCCACTGTAGTGTACTGTACTCATCTGCAAAAGTCAGGCCTTCGTCCTTGTTTTAAAGCATTTCTATCAATTTTTTCCACAAATTCTAAATAGATCCGAATGTATTTTATTATATCATATTTTTTAAATTATTTCCATCTACTTCAATTAAGAACGTTGAATATTTGGAGGTGCAGATACATACATAATATTATTATTCTCCTCCCCCCTAAGAAAAGGACATGATGCGCTACCTTATGTTCATTGACAATAATACTTGAGATATATATTTTTCTGTGACCCATAAAAACACCGAGGAAAAAAGAATATATTTTAACCTTAAAATTTCCCTCTGGATTAAAATTCAATGCATTCTTCATATGACAGGTCAAATATGTGTGTTTATTAAATATTTTTGCACTAATTTCAAGTTAAAATCAGGTTTACATCAAATTGGTATGACAAATTTATTAAAATCAAATAACAAAATTATCCAAATGTCTAGTTTACATGGAAAACGGCCATAAGTTGGGAGGTGAAATCGTCTTGCCACTGTCAGTTCGACTGTCGGGTTTTTAAAGTTCAACAAATAGCAATGGCGCCCGAAAATCACGTGACTTCCAATCTAGTGTTATTGATATATATATATATATATGGGTGCAATATCACGTTTTCATAATTTAGGTATGATTGATAGCCTTCCACTGTTCATTGAGCAGTAAAGCCATTTTTTTTCGAGTTACGTACCATTTTTTAAACATGTATGGAAGGACATGTAGAATTCTGATTTTGTTAATAGTACATGTGCAGTGATATTTACATGAAAATAACCGAGTCAGTGTTATTGGTTTTGACTTACTCTGCAGGACAATGTTCGATATTACACTTCTGAACCTGGGGGCGAGGCTTAACGGTTGGATCGCACAGCATTTCTGTAACTTCTTTTCCGGTGATGTCATTTTTACAAACAGCTCTTGACATCAAGAATCCTGTAAAACATATTTGATTGGTTTCTGAGAGGGTAAAAATTTTAAAAACTTCCCATGGCGTTCGTTATAAAAAATATATATAAATACTTTTCACTTAATTCACGCATTTGATTAATCAGTCAGTACACAAGGTAGGGATGTTTCATCATCATGTTTTACCCTGTAATCTTTGTTGATCTCCATGAAGTTTAAGGTCGATTTTTAAAAGAATTTTCTATTTGATATTTTTGTTTATAAACGACAATCCTATAAAATTATTTTAAAAGTCATTTGTATTATTACAATTGTTATGTTATGATCGCTGAAGAAACGTGTTTATAATCAATCATATTTATGATAAGACAATAGTATTAGGTTTATTGGATTTTTAAACACCACATTGTATATTTGGTCTCTTAGAGTTTTTCAGAAAACAAGGACCCTACAAGCTCGTAAGCAGGCGGGAGATCGAAAGGGTCGGCTGAACTCCCTATTTTTGTAATGTAAAAAAATTATGCTTATATAATTATAACGCAGCTGCTAATGGTATTTAACGTTTTCTAGATTGTTTACATTCTTATGATGAAGTATTAGCATTTGTTTGGCTTGAAATAGTCACATGTCTCAAGATCCCCGTAGCATTAGTATACTGATTGTGCTTCGCACTATATGTGTTGGCAATTGATCTCATAAATTGGAATCCCCTTTCAAACATTCTGCGTACGGGTCTCTTGTATAAAGGCATCTAGAACACACTATGTTCGCCATATGTTTCACTAAATAATAGAGCTAGAACGTAGTGTTATAAAATCCAGTAAGCCTAATTATATTGTCTTATCACAAATAGTTCTAAATATTGAGAGCTTGTAGTCGAACAAGAAATTGTATAAAATATCAGTTTAATATTGTAAAAGAGAATAAATATTAATTTATTCGCAAAAAAGATTGAGTACATTACAGTTTAGCCACAAAAGTATCTCTATAACTAAGCAACAAAAAATTCTAGACAGTTGCTAGTTTCGGAAATAAAAAATTACTAACTGTTCAAAATTCTATAACTAAGCCTACTGAACGTTACAGTTCAGGAATAGAAAGTTACTGGACTGTTCGAAGTTCTGTAACTAGGCCTATTTATACTCTTTTATAGTTCAGGAATAGAAAACTACTTGGGTGTCCAAAATTTTGTTACTAGATGTTGCGTCATCGAGATCACGTGACTATTCTTACGGCCTCTACTTTCTACAACTATCCTGTACTTTGGCGAATGCTCTAGCATTTACTAGATATAGGGTAGTCTGGTATATAAAAAAGGGTGACAACGTGACGGGATAACAATAATGTGTGTGTAGATAGTGAGTAATTGAACTGCAGTCACAGGGTATTGTTGAAGTTAACGTTCGTTCGTTATAGTGTTTGTTTTAGCGCGAATATTGAAATTAAGTGTATCGTAAAGTTATATTCGGAAAGAATAAACCAGTTTTATTAAGTAAAGACGTGTGTCGTTAAAGTTTCGTCGGAACGAAGTTACGGAAAAATCAATTAACAAACGGAGACGTAACAAATTGGTGTCAGAAGTGGGATAAAAAATGGAAACGAGAAGCGGCAAATCAAACTACAGCATAGCAGACTTGATGGCAGCAATACAAGAACAGCAAAAGAAACAAGAAGAACGAGAAGAGAAATTACAACAGTTGTTGGAAGAAAAAGAAAAGAAACAAGAAGAAACACAACAGCAGTTACAA